GAGCCAATGAAGACAGCAGCATGGGGGCAGAGACAGATGGAGTGGCAGAGGATGTGTCACATTGAACCTCTGTGCGATGGCAAGGTCTGTAACAGAACACACACTCCCACAACACCAGAACTTCATTCCCATGTAGAACAACTTGCCTCTTTTTGGTGCCCCCCCCAAAAAAAATAGGCAGCCCCAGGGAGCGCACAAGGGGCGCAAAGAAAACACAAAATGAATGCTGAAGTTCAGGAACTTTAGAACTCGCACAGGATTTTAAAACTTCTCCTAACACAGAAGTCAATTAAGATGTAGAAATGAAAAGTAACGTTCACCATGGAATCAATGTGGTATACTCTCACAAGGTAGATGCTGGGTTTTACTATTTAAATCCATGGTAAGGCAAGTTTGAGATGGATCAACATACACTACCCTTCCTATTCGACTGACTTACTCTGAGAATATTCAGTAGGCTTCACTTCTCTGAAAATAGCTTTCTCTCTACAAATCCTTTAATAAATATTCAGGAGAAAGAGTTCACTGACAATCCCCCCAGATGTGAAGCTAATTAGCTGCTGATACCTAAGCTTAGCATTTAGCTCTCTTGTACCAAAAAGGATTCTTTTAAAGGTGTTTGTTTTGAATGTAAAAGATAAACCGGAAATAAGTATGGATTAAGACCTCCAAATTGTCCCCTCAAAGGATTCTCTTCCTTTTATCAAAAGACAAAGGAGATAAATAGGAAAAATCAAACTATTTAGGGGGTGAGAGAAAGTCCTTGAAGAATCAAGTATTTCTCACTCTTTTTTAATGTTGTCAGCATTTTAAGCTGCTAATTTTCCCCCCATAGATTTTTAAATAAGCTCATCAAAAACCTAGGAGTCTGAAACCCTTAATAACTTAGAGAAAAGATTGCTTTCCCCAAAGAAGGATTGTATTCAACTCACTCAGCTTTACTTTACTATAGTGTATTATTTAGACATAAAATTTTATTTCTTTGGGCACAGGACAATGGGTGTTGGTCTGCATTGCCATATGCACCCAATCTCCCAGATAAACTCAAGAAAATGCTGTAACACTTTGCAACTGTATATTTTTTGAAAAGCTATTAATGGAGAATAGTTATTTATTTTACCTTCCTCCCCTTAAAATTATTGATGACTTTGCTCATTGACTGCCACTGTGGCCTCATCTCCTCTGAGGCAGCATCAGTGAGGACTGAAGCTTTCAGTGAGCCGGACAGTATGTCTTCCTAAAGCCCACACAGTGTTTTTCCTAATATGGAGCCCTTAAAATGGAGAAACCCATCAGTTATCACTCTCTTACGACCCCAGACCCTCACAACATACCATGCACGTTCATATGAGAACTTCAGTTATCAACCCATCAGTACAACTAGACAGAAGGTTTACGATTTGAAACAACAACAACATTGGAATTATTTGATCTACACCAACTAATTTAGCTGTAGCTCATTATTTTGCCCCACTACCTACCAGGTGCTTAGTATCAGATAGCAGTAGCCTCAGAGAGCTCATTAGACTCCTTAAAAATAAAGGGAATTGGACACATGAATGTCAAATGTTGCAGTGTTTGCAACTCAACAGCAGCGTGTGCATCCTTTTGTCTCCAGGGAGTTGAGCTTTGAAGTGGCAGTTCTGCCAGTAAACTCTAGCTGCAGAACAGGACTAGAAGCTTACAAATCTGGCAGTGGACACAACCTTCTTACATTGCTAAGGATGTTGTAGAAATCAGCAAAATTATGTTGATGAGAATTTAATTTTATTAAATATTTTATATATATATATATTTTGGAGGGGTTAATTGAAAACCATATCTCTTACCAATAAGTTCTGTACTATGGTAAAATGTAAAGGAAAACTAAGACTGTCTCTTCTCATTGTTAAGTTCATCCTCTACTGTGCTTCTGTTTCTAAGAGTTTGGGGTCCTGTGCGATTTACTGCACCAGTGTCATCAAAATAAATTCAAAAAATTTGACAGTGAACTTGGCAGAAGAAAAGCTTTTTATTCTCCTACCTCAAACTATCAAGAATGAATGACCCATCCTGGCATGTGGGTACACAGTCTGTAATATAGCACTCTGGGAAGCTGAGGCAGGGAGATCACAAGTTCAATTCCAACATGGGAAACTAGGTGTCCTAGAAAGACCCAGTCTCAAAATTAAAAAGCAATAATGGCCTGGGGATATAGCTCAGTGTGGGGCACTGGAAATGATCCCCAACACTCTATAAGACAGAATAAATGATGCAATTTGTTAGATGATTTGCATTTTCATTAGAAACTAGTCCTTTAATAACATACTGCAATTAAGCCTGTCCTTTTAAACACCACCCCTCATCCTAAATGCTGTAGGGTATATATCACACCTGCTGAAAGGTGGGAGATACAGTACTGTCTTACTTTTCTCATGGCTGAGACAAAATGCCCAACACCCAAGGTTAGAGGTAGAAAGGTTTATTTAGCTCACAGTTTGTAGAGGTTTCAGTCCATAATCAGCTGGCTCCAAGGCAGGGTGGCACGTCAGAGGGCATCACAGAGGAGAAAGAGTTCATGGGGGTGCCGAAGGCAGGAAAGCAGCATCAAGCACCAAGCAGGAAATGAAAAGCAGTGACCCTCTTTCTGTCCCTTATATCTTATCCAGGAGCCCGCCTTTAGAGCAGGCAGCACTCACATCCAAAGTGAACAGCCTTAAACCTAGCATCCCACCGGGAGTCACCAGCCACCTCTAACCACATAAGGCTTTGGCAAGACATCTATACACAAGCCGAAACAAGCACATCTGAGAGGAAAAAGGACAATAAAAAAAATAGAGAAAATACAAAAGGCAAATAAAACTAACATGCCTTAAGAATGGTTATCACACCGATGACAATATCAGGATCCCTCAATCTTTATTATGCCCATAATCCACAGAGTTTTAAATAATCTAAATTATTATTTCCTTATATGGCCTCATTTTGTTGGATCCCTAGTCATAGACTCCAGACCATACTTCCTCAGACTTAGATGTTAATAAAATTATTTTTAAAAAGATTAATGCTAAGCTATAAAATTGCTATTTTTTGACATACATCCAAATGGTTGTTTACTTCTTTATACTGGTCATCTGGGGAAGATACTAGGTTATTGTAACAATTCGAGCAGTACTCAAAATTTCTTTAAAATAACCCTTTGGCGTTGCCTTCGAAGAGCACAGCATGTTCTATTTAATATCCTCGGTGGGAGCAAATTTTCACCTTTTGAAGTTGTCTTGTGAATACATTTGGAGATCCTGTTAGATGATAATATTTTCTAAGATTCAATTCAGAGCCAAGGAATTACAGATTTATCTATTTATGGAGCATATACTATATGAAAGGCTAAATGAAAAATAGAAAAATAGAGTCCTGGCTCAGTATAAAGTCTAGAGGTTCAACATGATGGATTCCCGGGGATGAAGATGCATAAACTGAGATTTAATGGGTGAATAGGAATTAGAAGAAAAGGGGCAGAAAGGACATTCCAAGTACAAAACATTGTGAGATTAAAAGTAGTTTAATAGATGGGGTTTTTAAAGTTACAGAAGTGGGGCCGAGGGTTTAGCTCAGTGGTTCTGCAGCCTGCCTCACAAGTGCAAGGGCCCGAGTTCAATCCCCGGAACCCCAAAAAAAAAAAAGTTACAGAAGCATTATAGCATAAAATGCAAAGGATGGTAAGGATGGGATGAGAAGAACAGAAAAGAGAAGTAAATAGGAGCCAAAATGGAGGGTTTGGCTTTCATTTGTGTAAGGTATCTACCTATAAATGTTTCTAAGGGTAAACCAGAGATCAGAACCATGTTTTGAATAGCTTGCTCGGAAGTGATCATTCTCTTGTTTCTAGGTTATGGGAAGAAACGGTGAGAGCAGCAGTAGTGAAAACGTGTGAGTGGATAAATTAAATGGGAATCAGAAAATAAATTAGCAGGACACAATCACGTATTTGATTTCATAATAAGAACAGAGAAATGAACTTGCAGGTTTGTGTCATCAGTACCAACTAAGATGGTGAACAGCGGTAAAGTACGTCTGCTTGGGTAGGGGGACAAGACTAAGAAGGGTATTGCACGAGGCCAACCTGAGCACTCGAGTTAGAGAAACCACCACGACCCAAAAGAGACAAAGCATCCAGGAGAAAAACCAGATGTGCCATTCTGCACAGTTTCCTCTTAGGAAAAGGACACTCTAGCATTAGTATTTTGTTTCAGCAAGCATTGTAGAGAACTAAGAAATATCTGCCAATATATTAAATATCTATACTTAAAACAGAAGCTAACATAAGTGATATTGAGGCAAAAAGTCTGAACTGGTCCAGAATGAAGACATTTCTGTGAGATATGTATTCCAGAAAGTGTCACCAATGCCATTTTGAAGAAACACTGGATATTAATATCAAAATTGCTTTGTATAATTTTTCAACTGTGCTTCATTTCAATGCGTGAATTCTTTTGCAGGTGTATTCACACTTCAGCAAACTACAATAAGTATAACTGAACATTTTCAAGTCATATTTTATTGTCTTTGCTGTCTTTACAAAGTTATAACTCCTTTTCATATTGGTGTATGTATTACTTAGCTTTTTCATCCCTGTAACCAAATATCTGATATACACAACTTAAAAGGAGAAAAGGCTAATTTTGACTTACAGTTTAACAGAGTTCAGTCCATGGTTGGTTGGCTCCAAGGTAGAAAAAGCATGGCAGAAGGTCCTGACAGAGGAAAGCTGTTCAAAAGGTAGCAGAAAGGAAGGGACAGAGTTAGGCATACTTTACCCAAAGACACGCCCCTGGAGACCTACCTCCTCAAACTGGGCCCCATCTCCTACCAACACATTTAGTTTTAAACCTACCAATCAATGATTATTCCACTTATGAGTATAGTTACCCACGATCCAATCACCTTCCAAAGCCCCATCTAGGAACACATGGGGGTGTAGGGCATACATTCTAGATCTACAACACCATAGAACTCTAGAACTACAACACTATAGATACACCAACACAATAACCCCACAACTAAACTAAGAGATTCTGATGGCCAAAGAGGCAAATAAGGTAAGTATCCTGTTGTGGTTTGTGTCTAGATGTCCTTCCCAAAGCCTCACGCAGTCATAGGAGGATAGCTGGATGCAGTGGTAACTGGATCTAGAGGGTATGATTGATTCATAGTAAAATGCTAGAATGGAGGGTGGGTGATTACTAAACCAGCCCATTGATTGATTTGCCACTGCTCTAATCCTCGTAGTCTGGCTACAATGTAAGGGACAGAAACAGGCTTGTCTTTCTTCCTTGCTTTGCTACTTTCTGCCTGGCATGAACTGTTTCTTTTCTGCAACGCCTATCTGCTGTGCCGCCCTACCTTGCAGCCAGCTGATTGTGGACTAAAAAACTCTACAAACTGTGAGCTAAATAAACCTTTTTCCCTTTGAATGCTGGGCATTTTGTCTCAGCAATGAAAAAAAAGTAACTAAGACATTAACTGTCAGAATATCTACCTTAGTTGCAACAGACTGCAGAACACTGGCTGAACAGTGTCAGTAAGGTCTGCCTACAGATTGCAGGAATATTCAGCAAACCATGTGAAGAATAAAAAACTACAAAAACAGAGGTTTACCTGTGATATAATAGTTATTCCTATTCATTAGTTTGGCCATTATTTAATTATTTTAGTAGGACTTAAAAATAAAAACATCTAAAAGACTATTTTAAAAGCTTCTATCTCATAGGTATTAAGGAGTCAAAATAGCTTCCATTTAGATATAAATTTAGAAACTTCTAGATGCTTTGAGGTTACTTAATATTTTCAAACTTGATATGACATCAGGTTAGGAAACCACTTTGTATATTACTGACATTTTATAGTTATGTCATAAGTAAAATGCTTTCAGGAAATTAAATTGAAAAAGTGCAATGGTTACACTTTAAAGTGAGAAACTAATTAGAAGATTTTTAAGGGTCAACTTGTCTGTACTGGTCATTTAAGTATATTACTTTATAAAAATAGAGGAAGCTAACTACTTGGCCAAAGAAAACGTATGTCCATACAATGTGTACGCGCACATTAAAAGTTTAGAACTAAATTCAAGACCGTCAGACCAAGTGAAATAAGCTGGATTCATAGTTAAATAATGCAATCCACCAGGTGAGCACATGAAATAAAGGAGAGCTGACGGGAAACGAGAAAGCAGGCCCTCGGAGACTGGGAATGGTAAGAGAAAGGAAAGGGAGGAGGTGAGAGAGACTGACAACGAGCAGGACGTGTTATGTGCACGTCATCAGTTTTCGAAAATGAACATCACTGTTCTGTGACGCCAACGTGTGCTAATTTAAAAAGAAAAAATAACCAGGGATGAAAGAAACCCACAAGGACAAAGCCACAGTTGACAAAAATAGCCCACTGCCTTGACAGAGTTCAGTATCAGGAGATATTTTTTCTGAAAGACGTCTAATTCACTGAGGATATAAAACAAACACCATATATATAGTCTGAGATTTAATAAGGAAGAGAAAAGAAAACGCTAAATATATAGATATCAACATAACTCAGTGATAGCCAATAGTAACAATACCTTTGAGTTAAAACAAACAGAAGCGAAGCAATGGTCAGAAAGGAAGTATATCAGGAACGGAGGAAGATGAGCTAAGGGGCTACATAATCTTTTATCTGGGTAGAGAAGGTAACAAATTGATTAAGTTTGACTTCAATAAGGCAATTTAAGTGCATTTATATCTAAGGTAAATATTAAAATACAAAAACATGAATCACATACTACCAAAAGGGGAAAACAATAAGAAAAATAATATACCTAAACCTGGGGGAAGAGATTAGATTATGGAATGTAAATGACAAACCTAAAAAAGACTAGAAGTGTTAACCAAGTAAAACTGCACGAACAACAGACCAAACAAGAATTAGATGCAAAAGAGGTACATACAATAACTTCAAGTCATTAGGAAAATACAATAATCATAATCGTACGTATACCTAAAAACACTATGAAACCTAAAAAGGACAAGTTGAAAGAACCACACAGAAAATATAGACAGGATCTCCTTTATCTGTGAGAGATAGAAACATGCATCGCCTGCTACTTATAATGGACAAAAAAAGCAATATGTAAAATAAATCATCAACTTAATTTATAAATTTGATCAAACATAAATATGCACATATATAGCAATTCTGATATATGTATTATGAAACTAAAACCAATAGAATATGTATTTTTTAATGATAAACATATATAAAATATTGTCAAAATATTTGAAATACTGGAATTAGAAAGTAAATTTAAGGAAATATATGTAAATCATATATTCTCTGAAATCAAGTTTTGTGAGAAATTAGAAACAAAAATCTGATAAATAAAATGCATCTATAAATTGAGAGGGTGACTTTAATTCATGAGTTAAGTTGACAGCTGTAAGGATAAGTGCAATGGACTGAATTATTACCCCCAAAATTCAGATTCAAAGCCCTAATCTCCAAAGCAATAATATTTGGAGAGGAATCTTTAGATTTAAGTGAGGTTAGAGCAGGGGCCCAGCTGATGGCATTATCATGCTTAAAAAATAAAAACACTAGAGGTTTATTTGCTCTTTTATTTGCTGATTCTTAACTGTTCTGCTAATCCAAGCCAGTCTTTTGTTATGGTTGATTGAACAAACTAGTAATTAGAAAATATTTGGAACTAATACAATTTTACATTTCAAAACATTTGGTTTACAGCTAAAATAGATTCAGGGGAATTAATAATTGTCAATGTTTATATTAATTTAAAAGACTGAAAGAGTTAAGCAAAGTCAACAATATTAAAAATAAAAGGGGGACATTAGAAAGATACCAAAAGTAGAAGCAAAAATTCAGTTTACAATGGATACTCTACCAATAAGCTTGAAAATGTGAAATGCACATTTTCCCAGAAGTAACTACTATCACACTGAGTCCAGAGAAAAAGATAATGTATTTGCAAACTTTTTCTTTCTTTTTCTTGAGAAAGGGTCTTACTATATAGTTCAGGGCAGCTTCATGCTTGCACCAATCCTCTTGTCTCAGCCTCCCAAGTGCTGGAATTACAGGCATGTGCCCCTCATACCCAGTTTGTATTTGTAATTCTTACAAGCTGCTTGAATTTGTAATTTTAAATATTACAACAAAGTCAAAGATTATGATGCAGTGTCTTCAACAAATTTCTAAGTATATAGTATCAATCACATATCCATCAGATAGAGGAATTCCTGAATAAAGAAAGAGATGGACATTTCCTAAAGCATTTTCTGTATTTATGCAATGCTGGTTTTATCCTAGGAATGCAAATTTCATCAGAAATTAGAAAATTATTCATATATTTACAGTGTGTATAAAGAGTATCAAAATCGAAACAAAAAAGCATCTTCTAAAGCTTTAACATTCATTAGTTGTAATTATATAGAAAAATAAACTGACAGAGGCTATCCATCTTTTTTTTTTAATTCAAGATGCAGAACAGGTGAGTATGCCAGTTAAGAACCATTTGATTCAATATTTCACTGGCTGTCCTAACCAAAAGACGACAAATTTTAAATGATAATTAGAATGAACCCAAATGGGCCATGTAAGTTATTGTTGATATAAATTTCAAGGGAAGACAAATACCAGAAGGTCAAAAAAAATGATAAGAAATGGGAGAATCTAACAAGTTTGCAAATACAAGACTCTACTAAAAAGCCGAGTGAATTACCTTACACTAGCTATAAAAATTGGACTATGTGCTTTTACCAGCTTTATTGAGATGTAATTTATATTAAAATTATTGCACATATTTAGTAAGAATAGTATGATTTGTTTAGACATAATTACTTGTGATACGATCCTCACAATCAAGGTAATAGACATATATACCTCTCACCTCCCAAAGTTTCCTAGAATCTCTTTTTGTGGTAAGAATAAATGACCTGAAATCTGCACACTTAACAAAATTTAAAGTGCACAATATTGTGTTAATCTATACACACTGTGTTGTACAGAAGAGCTCTAGGACTTAATCATCCATCCAATGTAACTAAAACTTCCTTCTCATTAAATGACTTCTTGTTCTTTTTTTGCCCTATCTATTAATACAACCACAATTGTAGTCCCTGCTGTTTTGAGTCTGACTAGTATACAGTACCTCACGTAAGTGACATCTGTAATAGAGCAATTTGAAAAATAATGTATCAAAAATATGAAACACAGATAAAATTTTAAAATGTCAAGACAATGTGAAAAAATATAAAACTATTGAAAATATGAAGCTAGGTAAAAATGTTCAATGAATGATACATAATTATGTTCTTGATTTGTAATAAATTTTATAAAGATATTAGTAATATTCAAACTGGCTTCTGCATCCAAATTAGTTCTAATTAACACTGTAACTTCATTTTGTTGAATTTGAAAGACCTGATTCTGAAACTCGTATGATGAGCAAAAGTTTTTAATAAATGAAACAAAGACAAACCGTATCTGTAAAGCATTTTCATTTTCATCATTTTATAATTTATCATTTTCATTATGTGACTCATACAATAAAAAAATACTAATGAATGCTTTTTTATATTCATATATGAGTATTTTGGGGACACCTTCAAACTTTTTAACTAATGGAGTTTAAATTTAAGAGATCAATTGCTAATTTTCATGGCTTTCATCGGCCTAGTTCTTAACCATCTACAAATATTTTTGACTCAATAGGGAAAGATCTAGTATTTTTTTCCCCCTCATGAGTTTATTGGTACATTTTAGTTACTCAGTTCAGTTACATTCATCATTGGGATCTTGTACCTTTACATGACAGGTCTTGGTTCTCATTTTTCCCCTTGTCCCTGCCCTCCCTTCACTTCCTCCTCCTCTCCCCCTTTAAAAGCATATTTCCATTTTTTCATTTTCTCAAGAAAGAAAAAGAATCTAGTTTTCTCAGCAATATAAATGTCTCCCAGGGTGAGCTTCTGCCTTTTTGATCCGCTTTGGACTTAGGGAGTTTCTAAGGCTCTTACTGCCAGGTGACTCCATCACATCTCTGAGCACTGGCTTTGAGTGCTGCCACCAGCAGAGAAGAGAAGGAGGTAAAACAGCTACTAAAATTGCACCAACAGGGCTCCTTGACTGATTAGCTTCTCTTAGGTTCAACTGACAAGGAGAATCACAAGACAGAGACGGAGTAGAAGGAACATGATCAGTCTGTTTGTTAAACCCACAACCCTACTGCTCATTTCCAAGCTACCTCGCTCAGTGGCTGTGGCCTTGCTTCCCCGTGCCCAGACCTACTACTGTGAGGATGTAGCTTAGTCTGGCCTCAAACTCATGGTCTTGAGTTACTTTATGATACTGAGGAGAAAGCAAATGCAAAGCAGTTTCTGAAAGAAATGTGTCTTTCCTATAGATATATGGCATAAGCCAGAATGACAAAGTTCAATGTATTTGTTATAAAAGTATTAAAAATTTCTAATGAGCTTGTATAAGATTCCAGCTAGAAGTACAGTAGTTGCAGAATTTTTCATCTCCTTTGCTTCTACTTATTATTATAAAATGGCACATGGCTCTAATTAACATAATATGTAGAATGCACAATAAAACAACTGTCATAACAAATGTTGCCAATACCTCCACACCTTGACTTCCCTTCACAGGGAAGACAGTCATTTAATCAGCAAGATTTATAAAATGTTATTATCAGACACAGTGAAATCAAGTCCTTTTCAGTAACAATATAAGGAAAATATTGATATTAGCATATTTTTACTACAGATCTACCTCTTACAGTTAGATAATAGTTTAAGTTTTGATAAAATAGGCACAGACAGTACTTACATCCTAAGGTAAGAGGATGCTGTAAAATCTACAGGAAGGTTGGAATCTTACCAATGTAAAAGCAGCATAATATAAATATAAATTCATTAGAGCATTTGTTGTGTGTTTTTAATCAGAAAATTAAGAATTTCTAAATTCTGTAAAAAATGTCTACCTGTACCTGGAAAAAAAAAGAAATGACTTGGCTTCTACCAGAAGGTTAAAAGCTTCAGAAGTTCTCATAAAGAAAAAAAAATGATGAGTAATGTGCATCCTCAGAGACTGAGCAAGGGGAATATAAGAGAGAAAGCATCCAATGATTCACACATTATAAAATGTGAAGAATCACTTTATCAGGGGCTGCAGGGACAGAAGTAGGTAACGCACGAGTAACAAGTCACTGTCCTGCAACTGGAGATAACCTCCTATAAACTCTCCACTTCGTTGTTTTCACTACATGAACTCAGAAAAAAGATTACTTCTAATGCTATTCTCTATGCAAATTCTTTGAATTGTCACATTAAAGTCGTTTTAAGTTTAACGACTACAGACTATTCATTTCTTTCACGTTTAGGATAAGAGCCTAAAGGATTCATGAGGTTCACTGGATCACAATCCCAATGATTGACAAAAATTTTATTTTGCAGGGATCTACCAATTCCACAAAGGACAGAAAGGAGAAATGAAACAATAGAAGAATGAAGAATTCTGGCAGGTTCTTTCTAGCAAGCAGAGAGGTTAGGAGGGAGATAATCGCTAATGAAGTAGAGAGGAAGAAATCATTTCAGTGTTTCAAATTCTGTCCAAGAGCAGAAGTCCTGTGCCTGGGGAGTATACTGACGAGCTCCATCTCACTTCATTTTACAGAGAGTCACACAAAAACAAGGGTGCTAAATAAAATCACAAGGCAACTGCTAGGTACAGTTGGCCGAACCTTTCAAGCATCTCATTTTCAACTAAACAGTATAACTGAAAGGTTGGGTGAACATTAAATCAGTAACCAGGTAATGACAACAAGCAATGGAAAGAAGAATTACAGAGAGAGAGGGTTGCACAAGAGCAGAGAAGAGCCCCCACACAGCAGAGAAGCTAGGAGGGCTTCCGTAGCCCAGGCTCTCCCACAACCACCCTCACTACCAGGAAAGCATTTTCAGAAGGAAAAGGGGCAGGAGAAATGCACGCTCCAGATAGAGACGAGACAAGAAGGAAAGACATTGGGGAAAGCCCAGGGAAATTTAGAATACAAGTATGTCAGGCTGCTTTCAGCAGTCAAGCATTGTGTGAAAAGGCTAAAACCAAACACTGACAGGTTTCCACGCCACACTGGGGTGGATGACTTGAATAAAAACCATTAGAAACTTTAAGAATACTAACTAGACAGCGTGCAGAAGGTACAGTGGACTAGGGAGAGAAAGAAATGTCGATAAATTGGTTTTCCAGTAATCCACAAACACTGATAAAGTGAAAAATACAAAATCCCATCAAAAATAAATCTTAAGATTTATTCAGTAAAATCACTGTAAAGATTCCAAAAATTTAAAGAAAATATTTTCTGAAATGCATTAAATGGTAGGTGGAGGGAACAGACAGAAAGGACACCTGTTACTACAATCTTTTAATATTATACCTCAGGATCTGTAAAGAGAATCTCATTCAATATTTCCAAACATTCCCTACGCACCCACCTCAGAGCTGAGTTTGGTACTGTACTTGGTCTGTAAGCCAAAATATGTTTTGTTTTGGTTTGGTTTTTTTTTTAGGCAACTGGAGAAGGAGGCTCTTCTTAAAATTCACAACTATGTTGTCCAGAAATCGATGTCAGTAAATAGTAGGCACTAACAACGGTCAGATGCATTTTGGGATGAAATGTGGCTAAGGTACCAACGGCCCACATAGGAAGAAAATGCACACTCCAACTTGAGGCTTCATGTGTACTGAACTGTGTAAGCATCAGAAAAAAGACCACAGGAAACACAAGATTTTACTTTGACCCAGGAAAGATTCCCTAGGATGAATATTTGTGAACCTGGAAAAGGGTGAAGAAAGAATATATACTAACACCTCCATGTGATGTTTTTCCTACATCCAGCTTTTTAACTGACACACACAAAATAAAATTTCTGTCCAGCATAAACTATGACCAACCTGTGTGCATAAATGTCTGTGTATTTATTGGTTCTGTAAAAGATAGGGTGGTACTGACTTGTACTCTCCCTGGTAATGAAGTACAGTCCCTTTAACAGAAGACTCTCTCCCCGCTGCCCACCTCCAAATAAGTGGTAGCAATTATTATAAGCAGATAAACTAGATAAAAGATAAAAACTATAAACATAAAGATAATTCCTGAATCTGTCAGATACATACCATAGCATTAAAGTATAAAAAGAAAATCCTTTTTAAAACAGTAATATATGATATCTCATCCTCAGCAAAAGATTAATTAGTCAAGAAATGGGTAGAGAACTAAAAAACTGAACCTAGAAACAATGATTTTACTGACATTAAGTTTTTGGGGGTTATTTTGTTTTGTTTGGTACCAGGGAACGGACTCCGGCCCTTGTGCTTGCGAGGCAGGTAGTGGAACCACTGAGCCAAACCCTGACCCTGACATTAAAGTTGAATGTCTAATCTTGAATCCAACAAACACCGAATATAGTTTCTAAGGGCCTATAAACATTTTCAATATATTTAGGACTACAATAACAACACATGCTCAAGAAAACAGATAAGGAAATAAAAATAAAATTAAAAGCCTATAATTATATGCTGGTTTCTCTGAGAAATTATTACATAACATTATAAACTGGCATCACAAATTTGAGCAGATAAATTAATGAATGGACAATTACTTGCCCGTATGGGAAAAATAAAACTACATACTCAAGTCTATTTACAACAGAAAACATTCAGTTAATGGATTATGAATAAAAATTAAGCATAAAAAGGCCAGGGATTTAGCTTAGTATCCCTGTGCCAGCCTCACAAACCTGAAGACCAGAGTTTGACACCTGGCACAAAAAAATTAAGCATAAAATCTCTGGCAATAAAAACTGGTTCATATATTATATTGGAGAAAAATGGTTTCCATGTAAGATAATTAATCTTCAAAACAATACTCTTGTATTTGGCAAAGTGAGATTTGAAAACTACATTTTCCAGTAAGGATCAAAATGAGAGACAAACTGACATGAAAATAAACATGTAAAATTTTATATAGCTACTATAAAGAACTACCATGAACCAGTAAGTTTCCAATTATTCCACTATAAAATCATCAAAATATATAAAAAGGCAATTCACAGACAGTAAAACCAAAACCTCTCTTTAGCTTAATCTACACAGGCATAAATTAAAATAGATTTGAATTTTATCATAAGGGTAATAGTGGATTATATGTTATTCCTAAATAATCACAGTGCTTAATTTGTTCATTTTCTGAGAATTATTACTAAATAGGAATCCAAGACCATAAAATTCAATCATTCCTTTTACATGTCAATTTTACTTTTTTAATCCTATGAAAAATTAAATATGAGTAACATTATTTGTAAATTAGGATTGTTTCTAAGAAGATTATGTGCCAACAAGGTAAATGCTATTTGGAGTAATTAAATTCAAGCATATTCCTAAAATGGAATATTTAATGGCAGTTAAAAATAATATAGACAACATTTAATAGTGAGAAGTACATAATCTATAGATAAACGTAATGTGTATATATTTATGTATACACATGCAAAACTTTTAGTAGGTATAAAATAAAGTGGTAATAGTAATTACTTATGATTTCACATAAATATTACATTTTTTGTTCATCCAAATTCATCTACAATAAGTACAGAGAAAAAGTTTTGTTTGACTTCCCAAATATTCTAAAATGAAATTTATGCTATTTCCATGTAATAAAATAAACTATCATCAGGCAAAAATAGACAGGAAGTAAATAAGCAATTGCTTGGGGTCAAGGGGTGGGAGGAAAAATTGGAATGTTTGTTAATGATTATGTAGTTTCTTTCTTAGATGATGAAAATGCTTTAGAATAAATTGTACTGATGGTTTCACAATTCTCTGAACAGGTTAAAAGCCATTAGGTTATATACATTATTCATGAATGAATGAATGGTGTGATATATGAATTATATCTCAATAAAGCTGTTTTAAAATCTATCATGGAGAAATTGCTTAATATTGAAAAATATGAGCTATTAAGAAAATAGAAATCAAACAAGGTTTTGATAGTTTTGCAAAAAAGGTATAAATATTTCAAAAGATGGATATACACAAAAATATTAGCAATACTTATTTCCAGATGGAAAAGATTTTATAGTTCAGATAATCAACTTTTGCTCCACAAGATATTGAACAATGAACATTGCATTATTGCAATTACTTTTCCAATAAAAAAGTTATAAAAATTACTTTCAAAATACTCAAGTTTTTACAAGGGGAAAAAAAATGAGAATCAAGACCTGTCATGTAAAGGTACCAGATCCCAATAATGAATGTAACTGTACTGTATACCTAAAATGTACCAATAAACTCAATGAGAGAGAGAAAAAAAATACTCAAGTTTTTGTTTAGCAGGGCTAAATGGAGAAAGACTGTCAACATTAATTCTATGAAGGCTTTTTATGTCTTAAAAAAAATCCCAATTTCTACCCTCAATAGATTTATTGAAATCAGTATGAGACACAAAATTTTAAAAATGAGTGCCATGATGCCAATAGGTATTTTTGGATTCTATTTTAAATGTCATAGGTATTATAAAGACAATAGGAACAGTGACATGTTACTGTTCTGATGCTATATTGCTACATCGCTGCTGCAGCGACAAATTGCTACAAAATGAGGACCTAAAAACACAATTATGGCTGTAGATATCAGAAGCCCTAAATGAGCCTTACTGGGCTAAAGTCAAGGTGTCAGCAGGGATGCATCCCCTCTGGGGATGCCGTGGGAGAACTCACTGTCTTCCTTTTTCAGGTACCTGCACTCCTTAGCCCTACTGTCTTCAAAGCCTAAAGTGCAAGTCAAGTCTCCTGTAGCACATCCCTCTGCCACTAAATATTCTATCCCCTTCTTCCACACTTAAGGATCCTTCTGATTACACTGGGCACTTCTGGATAGTCTAAGAAAAATCTCTATTTTTACGTCAGCTGATTGTCAACATCTTTTCCATGTATAACTTTAATTCCCCTTGGTCACAGGAGATATAACAGTCACAAGCCCCAGAATTTAAGAATTACATCATGGGAGGCCATTTTTCTCTTTACCATAAATAACTGAGTATTAGCAATCAATGGATACTGTATGCATTGAGCCTTTTCTAAATGATGGAAGCTATTCACATATTGAGGATATGAAAAAAATCTAACAAAATAAAAATGATTCAAGTGACAGTTACAACAATTACAGTAGTACTGTTGACATCATTTTTCATTTCAGTTTTTATCTTTGTATGAACACTACAAAGGAAGTTTTTGATTCTTATAGGTATAAATTACAACAGATTGCAACCTTGTAATTTAGTCCCCATTCAAAATATATTTATCAAATATTTCCCATAGAATTGGAATCATGCTAAGTTCCAGAGATAAAATAATAAGCTGGAAAGACATATTCTGTCTCCACAGCAATTTAAAATGCAAGGAACTATGAATCAGAGAACAAAGATTTATTGCAAATTCCAGCAAGAAAAGTTAATATGTATAAAAAGCTAATAAAAAAAAACAAATTATTCTGGAAAGCCTAGTTTGTTCCATCCGGCAGTATTTAAAACTATATATATTATCTTGAGTGTGTGCACTGACTTTTAAGAAAGGCTTTTATTCATATAGATATATAAATGTAAATACCTATTCCTATATATGTTTGGGTAATCTTGCACAGAAGCTGAACCAAACTCCAGTAAGAGCTCACGAAAACTCTGCTGCCATAGGAATTTGCTTTGAAAATTACTATTTAAGTTAGATATGATAAATTTATTCTAACCTTAAGAGTTTTGCATATAGTGTTGATATCTTTCACATTTTAAAATTTTTCTAAATGTGCCACCTTCACTAGGCTCACTAGTCCCTGCTGGGATGAAGACAGAGCTCCAGAACAGTGACAATCTTATAGCTTTTAAAGGTTGTAGTTCTGCCACCTGCCTCGCAAGTGCAAGGTGCCAAATTTGATGCCCAGTACCCAAAAAATAAAAAAATAAAAAATAAAGTTCATAAAAAACATTCTGAGAAAAAATTTTTGCAGGCTATATATTCCTTCAGCTTCCAGTCACCGGGCATGGTAGCACAAGCCTGTAATCCCAGCACTGGGGAGGCCGAGGCAGGAGGATGGCTGTGAGTTCGAGACCAGCTGGGCTACATAGTGAGTTCCAGGTTAGTCTCGACTACATAGTGAGACCCTGTCTCAAAAAACAAACAAAAAAATATCATTTGTAGTTTTACATAAGGAAAATACTCCTATTTTCTATTGAGAATGACTCAGTAGGTTAGAACTGAGAAAGGGAACCAAAGCACTTATCTATGGGGGTCAGTTTTATTAACGTAATTGGACATATAAACGGGGTTAAGCTCGATGTTTGAACATAAGTATACAGCACGCACTGATCAAATCAAGATGCTTTCACATTTCCCCACCTTCACACTTCTTTGGAGCCTTCAACCTCCTCTCTTCTACATCTTTATAAAATAAGTAGAAGGTGAGACAGATGAGAAGGTCCCCATCTCTCTCGCTTGTCCCGGTGCCGACCCTGGGGCAGCCAGCTGGGGTGACTCGGCTGGTAGCTGGCCGCCCTCCCCCTTACTCCTCCTTGCACAGCAGTGGACTAGGATGGCTTGCTTCAGTGTCCTCGTGTCAAACTGCCATTCTCCACTCCAACAGGAGTGCAGCGAGGCTATGTGGGACCCTTCCCCACTCCGCCACTGTAGCTGGCGCTGTTGCATTTTGGAGAACAGAGTACCTGGAGGTAAACCAAGATCTGGGAGGGAGGCATCTGGGCCCCTTATCTGCATACCCAGCGTTTGCAGCAAGCCTTCCAAACAATTCCTTGGTTTCAGTCTGCACCCTCACTGAAACAAGTCTGCAAGCTGCTAAATAGCCTTTCCAGGCTTTCAATGGCTTTCA